AACAGGACACAACTGCTGCTGCCAAAAATCGCTCTACAAAAAAAAAAAATAAATAAAAAAATAGGGCAAGTCTGTACTGCTGTGGATTAAGGTCAGAAACAGAATCTTTGTGCCTCTGTACTGAGCTTCTCCCTATCCACTGCTGCTGCCTCTGAACTGCTTCCTTTACAGTAGTTAAGACACGTTCTGTCCCTAATGACTGTCCCATCTAAAAATAAGTGCTCTTGACACACAAGAGATGTCAGGCCAGCACAGCAGGACGCTGAAGCGTCTCTGGATGCGTAGCAGGGCTTCTCTTATGCTGGCTTGCAGCAATTTAGGAATTCACACTTGATAAACGCAGTAAGGGCGGCTTCTTTTTATCTCCTGCAAACGGTGCCAGGACTGATATATTCCTGACCCTTATTTGGGTCGCTAGCTTATTCTTTTATGCTGTTCTCTGGAATCATAGAATTCTAATGCTTCATTAGGCAAACACGCACTGTAGTCGTATATGCTTTTTCACTGACATCTATAGATGAACTATGTAATTGACAGCAGCTGGCTCAGCTTTTTGCTTGGGTCTACATTTTCTTAAAAGACACTGGTACAGAAAACATACTCAGCTTGCTATGACAGTGTTTCTCAAGCAGAGACATAATGCCTGAATGCTGGAAAATTTCTTACCTATAGCTGAAATAACTCTTCTTCAGCTTTTATCTTGTTTTCCAGATATAACAGCACACCAACAGGCTTCTCTCCATTACACCTAACTAATGCTATTACTTGATTCAAAGATTCTTGTCCTTGCTCTTTTTTCAAGGTGAGTGAAAGATCGCAATGGAAGCTAAATGAAATGTAACTATTTTTCTTATTAACAACATACTGCATTATCCCTGATACGGGCTACATTAAGCTGATTACGGCCCCACCACAGCAAGGCCCAGAGAAATAATCTGTCCTTGTTACTTACCATAGGAATGGGAAAAGATCACTTTCTCCTTGCTATAGTAGTATTTAGTCTCCTGAAATACTACTATTCACAAACTGAGAGGGAGTAGTATTGCAGGTATTGCTTCTCCCTCTTTTCTTGCGTCTCTTCATTCTAGTGATTTTGTAGACGCCTGTATTGTTAAGGAGGAATTCTATTTTGGAAGTTTGAGTACTTTACTTTTTCAGTAACCTCCCAAAAATTAGGAAAATACATGGATTTACAGAGGATGTTTAGCTGAGATTCTTTTAAGAAAAGTTCTTTTTCAATTTTCAATGGAAACAACATTCTTTTAAAATATGTTTATCAGTACTATAGCACATAAACATTAGAGTTTTGGGGCTTTTTTGACAGGTACCTAAGTAACCAGTCCTCTGAAAAACCCCCAAATTTCAACAGAACTACACTTGAGAAACCACATAGCAAAGGAAACACTAAGGGCCATAAAAACAGTCTCCAAAACTCCCCCGAAAACATTCGTTTTCTATTGATTGTTTCTACTGGGAGGATTACCATGTTTGGCAAAGGAAAGTACACTGCCATATGTCTCAACAGCATTCACAGCTTCTTGACTGCTGTGGGCTGTGATTCATTTGTTGGCTAGGACATTCACTTTTGTCTGCTTGCTCTACAAGATTTCAAGTGTTACCTAATGCTCGTTTCAATAGAATTGCATGTCATCATGTTTATCCAGTGCGTGATCAACATCGCCTCTAGGTCTTCTTTTTTAAAAGAATTCTGTGATTTCGGAGAATAAAACTGGTCACTTTTGTCCTGTCAGCAAAGCCATTCCTGTCAGGAAAACTTAAAATTCTGCTCCTAAAGAGATACTTTTCTTCAGGATTCACATCCTTTTATGTCCCAGGAAACTGCAGACATCCATTCCAAGGGGCCAGATGTTTACTTTCCTTTTGAAGGAAGTTCATTACCTTACCCAACTCGTAGAGCAAGCAGTATTTGGTATCCACTACTAAAGCAAATGCAAGGTAGGCTAGGAAAAAGTCATGATCTTTTGGAGTTTACGGACATACTCATTATTGTAAACTGCTTATCAAGACCTCCAGCTTGTCTCTTATTTTCCCCTTGGCAAACTTTGTCCTGAACTTTTTAGAACTAATTTATCCACCGCCTTGGCTGCATTGCCAAGCTTTTTCAAAGCCCCATACAGAATAAAGCAAAAGCAAGCCATGCTCTGAGAGTGTTACTAAGGCGTTTCCTTCGATCATACCTAAACCTGCACTTAACTGCATTAATTCAGAGTCACAGATGGAAAGGGGCCTGTATTTATATAGTACTATCTCAGCTACGTATGGATGACAGAACCTTAAGTAAAATGCTCTTTGCCCTTGTTTTTCTGGGTATTGCAGAAATGAACAGTACATTGAATTACAGTATCATTTTTATATCAGCACAGTATCAGAGTATAAGAGCTGAGCTGTTTCTAAACTAGTTTCTATTTAAAAAAATCTGGAAAGTAAGGCTCAGTGTAACAGAGGAAAATTGAGCAATTCACGGAAGCATTGACTAAAAAAATATGAAAAAAAACACGACTAACAGTTCTTTAGTTTCACTCAAAAAGTCCTTTTTTGTTGTTGTTGTTTTGTTTTATGGTGTGGTTTTTTTTTTTTAATATTACACGGCTTTGGAAAGTAAAAGTAATTTTTTATCTTTTCCTCTGGTTTACACCTTTAAAGGATCTTGTCTTCAAAACGATTTTGCTCACTGGGTTTTCATATGGTGCTATAAGATTTCTTTCCAAAAATGCTTGAATAGAACTTTTTAAAAGCTATTTTAACAATGGTTTTGTTCACTTAGATTCCATCTTTAAAAAAATAATTGAATTTAAGTCTTTTATACAGATCAATACTACAGTTTTAGACTGCTTCACTTCTTCCACCTCCTCTTTCTTATAAAAAAAAAGTAAATAAAACATAAAAACTATTTTGGTGGAAAAGAAAGTTCATCTTTTATCAAAAATGAAAAACAGAACTGAAAAGCTTTAGGGGGAAAAAAGCCCCAAACCTCGTAATCCAAATCCAAATCAAAGCCTCAAGAACTCCAACCACTGCTCCAACCACTGCTACAAGCAAAACATGACTTTCCAGACTTTTGAAAATGCGTTCTCCTAATGCTGTTATGTCCTTGAAAAAAGTAAAGTTCAACATATGGAAGACGACAGTAAGGATAACGAACCACTTGCTCAGCTCAAGTCAAGTCAACAAAACCTTCATCCCTTTTACAGGTGGTGCTCGGACTCTCAGAAAACTGTATTTAGGCTGTTCAACTTTTTGCAATTGTTTGCAGCTCAAGTGCCTCTTCCTGCACCTTAGCCAGAAACAGTCTTCACTACAACTCCACTTACCATTTTACGGCAACACTGAAGTCTGGGACGACTCTGTATACTTGGCTGTTGTTCTATAAGGACTGAGCCAGAAGTGACCTGGGGCCTGCCGACAGAACCCAGCACGACACAGGCAGGTGTGGTCACAGTTCATTGCAAGCTGTGCACAACTCAAAAAGGTCTTCGCAGCTCCTTTCCACTTTGTGTGCTTGCTAATAGTCATTCTGTCTTAATTATTGATAGAAACTCTTGTAACTTAAATTATCCCTTTTAGAAAAAACCCTCCAGCATCCTTTTCCAATTCCTGAAATACTAAAGCACAATAAATGATTGTCAGGCTCAAATATTTACAGAAAACAGGCTGGAAAACAAAGATGACAACCTTCAGCTGAGCTAGTCGCTTGTGGCCTGAAGGCCCTGTATTATTCAACCCTGCATGAAGTTGTGAATGCTACTGCATGAAACTCATCACCCACATGTTCAACACTGTAATACTTGTTCTCCCAAAGCAGACAATTTGGTAATAAACAGTAACACTCCCTTCCAATCAAAACAAGCAATGAGAGAACACACATTGTGCTTAAATTATTTGTTTTCTTGTTTGAGAAAACTTCAGCAAATGAAAAACACAAGAACACTCTGTACCAATCGCAAGCACTAGGATTTGTTACTCCTGAGCTCCCCTCTAACTGATGGGGGGAGAATGATTTCAGGGGGAGAGGCAGATGAGATCTCAGCAAGCACGCACAAGTACGCAACACGTGTTTCATGGAGCTTGGCTTACTTCATGCTATTTCTTTTTTTCCTTACTGTAATACAAAAATATTAAGAAAAATAAAGAACTTCAGTGCTATTAATAAAAGTTTGTAATTCAATTATTCTCTAGTCAATTTAGTGAGGAATTCCTTCTGGCAGCTTCACAACCACAGTACGTAAAAACCAAGTATTTTCCCTTTGCCAGCAGCAAAAGGTGTGCCTATGGCTATTGCTTTGTTTGAAAATCTACTTGGAATTCATAAGTCTCATTGAACCATTGAATAATTTGCCAAGTTGGCCAGGACTCTTAATGAACCAGGGAAAAACCTTTCTCTGATCACTTTATGAAAGATGTACACTTGGAAGTTACCCTAGAAAACCCACTCAACCATTATGTCATTAATATCAATATTGTATGTTTTGCAAATCCTGCATTCAGGGAACTACCTTCATTTTTCTTCCTCACGTGGCTTTATCCTGGGCAATTACTGTGTCCTTTTAAAGCAAAAAAAAATAATTACTTTAAAACACTGATTTTAAAAATAGTGCTGTTGAAAAGCTGCATCCTTAGTCCTTCTGTAAATATGGATCAATTAAAAACTGCAGCAGAAGTCAACAATGAAAAATTGCTACAAGTACCTGGGCCTTATGAAATTCTGAGAGCCTGCTAGGGTCCCAATTCAATAAAGCTTTTAAACATTTCAATCTCCCATGGTAATACACATTTCTCAAACATACAATTAAATAGCACACTGAACCTGAGCCTATGCCCAAGATACCATCTCAGCATATATAAACACAGCTCTGCATAAGGAATCCTCCATTGCAAAATATTAAGGAAACTATAGAGTGTCTAGCCAATATTGAATCTAATTATTCAGTGAAGTTTAATGGATAACTCAGTGACTGAATTAAAGGTCAAATATTCAAAACTGGTATAAAAAGCATCTTTACTGAAGAACTTATAAAAAGGGAATTGTGTATCATTTGAAGTCATTAAACAAATTACATTACTCATACTGACAAGAACTCAGTAAAATGTTTGCCAAACATTTCGCTTGTCCACAAAGTATTCAGTGAAAGATATACGAAACAGGTCCCATTATGCAAGCAACCACTTAAAAAAGTCAATGTAAAAATAGCAGTTATATTTAACTGCTTTTTTTCCCCCATCCGTTTTCCCAAACATGTAGAGGACAAACATCATGTGGATCACTTTTCAGTCTCATTCTCAGGTTCACTGTCTCCACTATCACTGTCTCTTCCAGGGTGTTCTGGCATTGTTCGATGTTCATCCACTTCGGCCACTTTCAATTCTCCTTCCTTTATCACTTCTTCCCCTACCTTATTTTCTTCTTCTGCATCTTCCTGCATGCCTTGCACTTCACCTTCTACTTCAGTCTCTTGAGACTGAGTAGTTTCAGTTTCTTCAGTCATGGCAGGTGGGGGCAGTAAACGCTATATGATTGAAAAAGAAAGGATTTTCAGTTTTTACAACAAATCTATTTGGACATCTATTCCTATTTTAGCTTGAATTGTTCACCTTATATTTAGCATTTTGCATTAGATAACAAGTTAACAACGAAGAGTTAAAATTTAGAAGCTCTAATCATTTGTAGGCACTTAAGTCCTATATAACAACAACAAAAAAAAGAATAATCTTGGCTCACACAATGGTCTTATTAGACATTTTTTGCCCGACAAGAGGGTGTTAAAAACTCAGTACTTTCGACTCAAGGGTATCAAACACATTTCATTATCCCAAAGAGCCAGGCAAGTAATAGGGCTACGGTAAATCCCTACTTGGAGCAACAAGTGCATTCCTACCGTAATCTCATCTGTTACCGTTTCAGACTCCTAGATATGTTTAACTTGCTTTTTGAGGTCTTTAACAGGCCCATCTTTAACAACTCATTCCAGTAATTTCCCCTTGAAACAGCTTATAAAATGTTATGGGAACGTTATCTGTACTTACAGCTGTGGGTGAAACTTGTATAAGTGTAAAACAACGCAAGTTCCAGTAGTGGTTAAAGCAATGCTTAGATATTTTTCACATACTACCTCTGGAAAAGTAATTTAGCATATTCCAAGCATTTTGCTTGCAATTAAAAAAGTAGTTTGCAAAATATTATAAGCAGCAAATGGTAGCCGTATTACAGACTTGGGGGAAAAAAAATACCATGAATACAGTGAGCTGAAGAGTATGGATGAATGCTTTACAACTCCAGGCAGTACAGAAACACGCCTATCTCTTGCAGCCTGACATTATTTCATGACATGACAGATATTTCCTTGGAATATTGTGAAGCATTTTAATGAAATGAAAGCGCGATAAACCTCCCATGGATGATTGTTTAGTTTTGTTTTGCTTAAAGGCAACTTGGCATCATATGACAAATTAAGTGTTTAATTACAGTGAAGTCTTATCTTCAGTTAGATGACACAAATATTACAAGTTTTTGACAAGCATAGGCAAAAATCTTTGAAGCAATTATGACCACCAGAGATATCAGATTTTTTTATAAATTTTGAAGTTTTCATACTGGTGCCTATAATCCATCTGTTCACAGAAAAAAAGTGTATTCCAAAGCCAGAGATCCTTTAATTACAAAAATATATTCTTGATGCATGAGACAAACTCAGAATTCTTCTGTGATTTAGTCAGATGAATGCTGTGTTTCCTGACTACTACTGTTAAGACTACTGTAAAAGAAAAAGATTATGTTGTACTAAAAAGGGTAAAAGAAATTTAATGCCTACTTTTTTTTTTTTGTTGTTCACTTTTTGGCTTCTCCTGGAAGGAGAATGTGATTCATTGCCACAGTAGGAAACCAGCAGTTTTGTAACTAATTTTAGCTAGCAATGGATAAGATTAGGATGCTAAAAAGAATAACTGGTATTAGCAGAAGGATCAGTTCCATATTTGATTAAGGTGTCAAGCAAACCCATCTTTTGGTAAAATTTAGATGCTACCATCTGCTTTTCAGGCTACGGTATACACTTCTCAGTTTTGACAGGGCTATTCATTTGCATCTGAATGTGACCAACTGCACAGTCCACTGAGTCCTCATCACATACAATCTGCACGGTTGAGAGATCTCCAACTACATTAGACAAACTGACTCCAACACAAGTCTCATCATGTGCTTATAGGACTGGGTTTTTAACAAAACCGTGTGAGCTTTCACTACTTTAAAAAATACAGTTACAAGAAGAGGAGATTTTAGCAGCGTCACTCCGCTTTCTCTATCCCCTTTTCTTTACAGCCGATAGATAATTAGAGCACTTTCCCAAAATAGTGAGAAAGTATCCTGACCACCTGGAAAAAGGCTTGGACAGGCAAAACGCTTCAAATTTGGCTGAATCTATGCCTCCCAGAAGGAAAAAAAAAAATAATCCAAGATTCACTGGTAAGAACTGCAGAGGAAAAGAAATTTTCTATCTGAAAGTCTGACATTCAGTTAAAGGAGAATTTCAGGTTCTGATCTGTACTCTGTTCCATATTAGATGACACAGTCACTGGAAGAAGGAAGGAATAGGAGGTGATAGAGAAACAGCCTCGCATGAGAGAACAGAACCTAGACCTCACAGACAAGTACCGTGCACTAATCTGGTCAAGGATACAGAGCCACACTCACACTCTCTTCCCAGCCAGCTAATACAGAGTGAGTAGTGTCCTTTTACATCAATTTTTTCCACTTTTGGAAATCCTTCAGAAGAGCAAAAACCAACAAGGGAACTTCAGAGTACCATGAAAGAATAAATTACAGGTAATACAACCACGTTACACCCCAGGTATTAAGTGAAAGCTGATGCAGTTGAGGGGTAGCATTTAAGACCTCTCCCTTTCTGTTTGCTGTCAACTACTTCTAGGCATCTACAGATCCAAGTATGCCGAGTAAAGGCAGCTTTCTGCTCAGTATAGTATCTAAACTACTTTAAAGCTCTGCTCACATACAGAAGAAGACAAGGTGTTTCTGTTAGGTTACGAGTTCTGCTTCAGGGATTAAACACTGACAAAATTAGATACAGAACTGAGAAAGCAACTACAACTGCTTCCAAGCCCGTGCTATTTTGCTTGGTGCTGAACTAGTGCTGAAAAAAAATTGCTCCAGAATAAAAACGCTACAACTGCTAACCAGTCTGGATAACGCAGTGAGCTAGCATGGTTAATATGGTTCCAAGACATGATCTCGTCTTTCTATCCACTGCAGGCTTGTCACAAAACCCTCTATTACAAAACATCACTGCACCATGCAGTGGTACTATAATACCACTAGCTGCGCTTACCTGAAACATAACACACAAGTTTACTTCAAGTAAATACCGGATAAGCTAGTTCTTTAGTACTAATGAGGAATTTCTGGGCATAGACAGAGCCCAGTCTAGCACTCTGCATCAATTACTGATGGTTTGGGGGCCTTAAATTGCAGCTTAAGTTACTAAAAGATACAGCTCTTGCTACTGCAGGATTTTAAAGACCCCAATATTCTCACTCACAGTCATAAAACCTTCTTGAATTTTAAACATAACAGGAACAGTCTCAAACCTCAAAAGCATCTCATGTCACTTACTAAAAATCAATTTTATCTTAAATGCACACTTTCTATAAGTTAGAGGGTCCTTACCTGTTGATAGTGGCGTGTGCTCTGTATCATGTGCATATACATATTGTACACAAAGTTAGCCATTTGAGGCATGTTCTTAATAATGTGTATTTGGTGAGATGGTCTTTCTCCATTCTAAGGAAGGGGAAAAAAGTAGAAATTCAGCAAGCAAAGCAAAACAATCATTATTCAAAGGTTATTTAACTATATTAGAAAACATAAATGCAAGAAATTAAATAATGCTTTTTAAAGAATAAAAACAGCTAAATTCTTTGGAAGGATAGGAAGTGCAGGTCTTCCACTTTGGGGAACCAGATTAGACATGATACTGCAGCACAACGAATAAATTTCAAAAGGACAGGCTGGGTTCTAATGCTGACTCCATAAATTACATTTTGGACTTGAGCCATTTAACGTATTAAAGGCACAAACAGTGTAGGATTAGATTATGACTTAGCTTACTTGTCCACCACTGTCTAGCTCTTTCTTGCCCACATTCGCTGACCATACACACTGCATTCTTTGTTGCACCGTGGACCTTAAAGTTTCAACTGAAGGGCTCCCTCCCAAAATTGTCAAACTGGACTTAAGACCAGGGAAAGATCTGTAACTGAATTTTGAGTTTATGCAGGCACCCCCTCTCAAAGATCCAGGAAGCAAAGCGGATATGATCCTCCATTTTATCATTTAGCATCCTGTTCTGTGTGTTCCGTGCTTAGATGCTTAATGGAAACCCTTCCCTAAAGATCTACTGTGGTATTACAAATTACTTATGAACCTAGCAGCAACAAAACTCTTTTGTGATTATGGACCCAACTTAATAAAACCCAAAAACGTTAATTGGTTCTCCTCAATTACTCAGTTATATGCAATTTTATCTCTTTTAACAGGAAGCTATTAGCTTTGTGTGGCTTTTTTATTTTTTTGAGAAGTAACATTTTGTTTCATAACAAGACCAAAAATATTTAACACACTAAAAACTTATCTATTTATCATACAAGAAAATTATTGAAATCACTTACACAGGCAGAACTTAGGAAAAAGCATGCACAACAGAGTTACTTTGGTAAATAAGTTTTGTGGAAAAGTCAAGGAAAAGCCGCTAGTGTGTATCATGATAAAAGTTAACTCTAATTATCCAAAAGGCATTGGTTCAGCAAAGAAAAAGGTCCAACCTCTTACAGCCCTCTCAAGAACAGTGGGCAAATACACACACCCATTACAGATAGGAAAATTCAGAGCAGCTGTTCCTACCTGTCTTGCTGTTGGAAAACATTCTGTGGGAACGATATGTAGGTGAAGTGGTCGAGCTGTGAGTTGGCTGAAAGCTGGAGTTAGCTCGAAACAGTTCTGAAACAGCGATACCCTTGCAAAGATATAAAGCCCGAGCCTGGCTCTTGACATGGCAACAACCAATCGTCGGACATCCCTTCAGAAAACAAAACAAATCAATCATGTTCTTTTCACTGATGACACGATTACAATAAAAATAACTGGATGTATACAGAAGTCTTAAAGGAAATATAGAATCATCTGCTAAATACTCCAGAAGACCTTATAGCAGCCTTCCAGTACCTAAAGGGGTCCTACAGGAAAGCTAGGGAGGGACGCTTTATCAGGGACTGTATCGATAGGGTAACGGTTTTAAACTGAAAGACGGTAGATGTAGATTAGATATTAGGAAGAAGTTCTTTACTGTCTGGCTGGTGAGACACTGGAACAGGTTGCCCAGAGAAGCTGAACGCCTTCACAGATGGGGCATCCACAAGGCCAGGCTGGATGGGGCTTTGAGCAGCCTGGTCCGGTGGAAGGTGTCCCTGCGCATGGCAGGGGGGTTGGAACTAGATGATCTTCAAGGTCACTTCCAACCCAAACCATCCTATGATTCTATAATACTATTTTGCCTTTAGTTTTTTTCCCTATGTACTGTTTCAATAACTACCAAATCCTACAATCATTTATATAAAAGAGGGTTCACTGTACTGATAACAATATGAAAATTCACCCTTTACTATTTTTCCAGACTTCAGAGGTAAAGATTTACATTGAGAACAAATCACAGTAGCATTTCTGTATTCCTGAATGAACAAACATGAATCTGATAACTCGTCTAACTGCTGGTGAATAGACAAGTTTTCCTCCATTCCACCCCAAAACTAAAGTGCAAACATTTTAAACCACACAGCATAATGCAACTTATGCAGTGATCAAACTCTTCTGATATAAAACAAATAAAAAGTTCACTTACAGGAAAGAATCCATGAGAAAATTTAAGCCTGCATTTGTTCACCAAGCATTACATTCCTATTGTTCTACTAAGGTGAAACCAAGTCCAGCCTCTCCGCAGTAACATAAACTAATTATACTATAAGAGTCATTACGAAAGGATAAAGTGTTTGTGAAGAGGGTACCAGACAGTTATAAAAGAAAGTATGCCTGAACTTCATTCAATACATAGCATCAAACTTAATTTCTACTACATACTCAAATAATCGAACACTTCTGTATAATCATTATAAACACCTTTCTGATACAGAAAACATGCAGTTTAATGACACTACAAGAGTATCTTCTTACATACCTAAGGTGGCCTACAGCTTTGGTACGCACTAGTGAAAGGAGAATATAATCATTTTGTTGACCTTGAAATCTGTCGACAGTTGTTACCTAGAGGATCAAAAACCGAGAAAAAACTTCCATAGGTTAATCTTTGTCATTTTAATTAAAACGTGACACCAAAATTTTAACATCAGCTTTGGACTGAGACTGCAATAAATGGGAAGGGAAAAGAGAATGGTTTAACTCTGTTTTAGTTGACCTCTAACCAAAAATCATCAGCCTGTTCTTTTGGGGAAATGTTGGGAGGAGCTTTTGTCTGACTGTATACTGATTCTTTTACATTTTTATTCAATTCAGACAGCTAACAGTGGGGTGCTAATAACGAAAGATTACATGTCAAATTACAAACAGGCAGAAACAAGTGCACTACTCTATGAAACTGTGCAGAATGTAGGGTAATAAACGTGTCGTTAACCAGGGAATACTGTGAATCTATTCGTCTGTTCTATAACGTGACAATTTAAAAACAAACCAACCAGAACCCCTCCAATGACTGATATATTTTCAAAGTCACCTTGTTTGGTCGTCCAATGAGTGGATTATTTCCACACCGCTGATTAATGACATCACGGATCAGGTGTTTCTGTCCATTGTATGTTGTCAGGATACTTATCTTGTCTGCAGGATAACCAAGCAGGCACATATACATGAAGAGTGCTACAACATACTCCGCTTCACCAAGATTCTTAAGTTTAAAAGAGGAGAGAGGAAAAAAAAAAGGGGGGGGGGGTTACTCAACTTGTAAGGTTGGAAAGAATAACATCAGTGACACATCATCATGTATTTAGGCAAAAATCTCAGCGCTGAGAAATGTCTATAGATCTGATCTTCCTTCTTTGCTCACTTAAAAGCCTTTTTGAAAGAACAAAACGAACCACAAGGAGGTTTAACAACTTCATTCTGATTCCTCTTCAGAGAATTGCTGAAAATCTCTACATCAGTATTATTGTTAGTCATTGATTGACACTTTCTAATATCTACTCAGAAGCTCCCAGTTTTATTTCAATACAAGATTAAAATCTAAATATTTAATAGTCCGTTAAATTATATTTTGGAGCTATTAAATATTTACACATTTGTACAAATGCATTTATATGCTTATAGCTGTCTGCCAAATGGAACTGCCACCTTAACTGTATTATTACAGGAGTCAATCAATCCAATATTTCATTTATTCTGCTTTAAAGGTCACATGCCAAAAAAACCACCTGTTACATAAAACTGGAACTGTTTTCTGTTAGAAAGCATTACAAGCTGATATTCTACAGATACCTGTATTTAAAGACAAGGATTTAAGAAACGCTTAGCGCTAATTTAACATGGTTTCAGGTAAGCACGCAAAAAAATTGCAATAACTCACTCTCCAGTAAGCTGAAAGTTACAACTAGTTGAACTAGAATAACTAAACTCCTTTCAACTATTAATTAGGAGAGACATCTGGATTATCAAATCCAGTTATTTCTACTGAGACCACACCTATTCAATTTCAAATGACCAGCTGTTATTTTGTATTTTGTAACTTTTTTTTTCCAGAGCCATTACTCCTAATAAATGTTTGTCCCAAAGCATCACTCTTCTGGCTGTAGGAAGTTTTGTCCTATTTCCGAACTGAATTTATTCATAGCCTGTTTAAATCACTTTTCCATCAACAAAAATTATCTTTCAGGCTAAAAACTTACCCTCAATTGCTGATATTTATTTCTGCTCTATTTATACTAGGAATCTTATGCCCACTGGGTGTATGTTTGACTAGACTAGACACACCAGCCTCCTTTATTTCTTCTTATTAAAGTGGCTCTGCATTACTTGGAAAATGCAGTTGCTATGCATACCAAACACCTGTTGGTGTAAAGATATTATACAAATCTTAATCAAGTCCAGAAAGAAATGCCCAAATTCAAAAAGAAAGAAATAAGACATGGCAGGAATTTGCTACCTCATGAAAAACCATGCAATGCCACCAATATACTCTGCTAATATCTCTCCATCCTCAAGATCATGAAAAAAATTTACTGTAGGACGTATTGCAAAAGTTCGTTCACAAAAGCACTGTTGTAATGATAAAGGTGTTCCGTGTCCTTGTGTGAATGTTCTCAGTCTTCTTCAGCTCAGGAGCAGACTAAAGCAATGCTCAGATTCTCTGAATCCCTTTTTTAAGGCACTAATTTCAGTTGTTCCACAGGACAACTTTTTACTACTTGTATATTACAGTGTTACAGTTTAAATAACAAAATCATAAGAAACTCTTCCCTCCAAACAACACTGTCCTCAAACTAGAAATGAGATGTAGTGGATTATGACTCACCATTGCTTTGTTCACTAACAGCACACTAGTTTGTATTAAAAAAAAAAAAAAAGCGAGAGGAACCCGAGAATACTCTATGAATATCTTTCATACTTCTTAAAAAATAGATTAACCTAACTCTCAATGATCTTCACAGGGAAAAAATGACCACAAATATTATAATCTCAAAGTATATTCTTTGCTTTCTACAATACTAAACAAAATATAAGGTGCAATTCCATGTTTGAATTAAACTCATTAACTTCCACACAGCTCCAGCCTCTAACTTTGCTGAAACCCAAAACAGTAATTCAGGAATCAGAGTTTGTTTTCATCACTGTTTTTAAAACAAGAAAAAGAGGACTGAAAATATAAGCATCTCATTACAAGTGTAAAAGGTTTTCCTGTATTTAAGAGAAATAGATGGAGGCTGTTGTTGCTGGATTAATTTAAAAATTTAGTCAAGAAATTCCAAGGCTAAGGTTTTCTGGCAATTTGCTTCAGCCTCAATGCCTCTCTGCCTCTTATGTATATTTCTTGCAGTACCGGTTCATTCTTTTATGAATGGGCTTTTTAGCATTCTTACATATAGAGCAAATCAAAACAGTGAGTCTTCAAACTCAAATATGTGCCACAGAGCAAACTTTGATTCTTCACGTACAGGGGAAATGCTACTGTTTATTTCACTATCATGGCAATACAACTGAATTAAAACAGACTTTAATTTGCCATAGGCTAAAACAATGTTTCATAATAAATTACACACGAAATCTCACCCCTCTCGTAACATTGAGAAAGTACACATATCAAGCAAAGTCATTCACTTTGAGCAAAAAGCACAACATATTATCATTTTCAACATTCAAAACTGATTAAAAGGAGGAAAAAAATCATGCATACGCGTGACAATTATCTGAGAACATGAATTAAACATCAGTTTACTGTATTTTGATAGTCTGTCTTCATTGCAGATTTAATAAGCTATATCCAGATTAAGTAAAGTATACACATACTATTTCTCTTACCTGATAGAAATAAGGATTGGGTTCAGATTCTCCCACACCATTGAAGTCTTCTACGTTTATCAGCTGGAAGTCGTACAAAAACCCAGCATTGGCTGTTCTGAATTCTGGCAGAAGTTGCACGTGAGGCAGGTTACCCAGATTCTTGTAACGCCAGTTGTAGAGGTTACATAAACTGTCCAAAAACACACAGAGAAAAAAACCCAAATAGTTAACGTGGGTTCCTGAACTCATTCAAAATAGTTCAGATAAACACAACCCCTCGCTTTGAAGATGAATGCTTCTGTAGGTTTTCAGTGAAAAAAAAAAAAAATTAAGTTGCCGGATAGCCCATACACATATAAATGAACATACTTGTACAAGCTATCCAGCAATTATTTTTTAAGTTTTGATTGTTTGGTTCTCTCACAGAAAAAAATCAGATTTCACTTCTCTTTAGAAAGCTCAACGCAGCACCCTCACCCTTAAGCTTGTCATGCTTGATCAGCTCTACACTGAAGGGTACAAATTTTGCAAAGAAATACAGTAGGAATGTTCATGTGGAACAAAACTTAGGGAATATTAATGCTTCTTTACAAAAAGGAAGGAGCACAGGAAAAAGGACTTTCTGCATTATCTGCTGTAAAGCCTCTTCGCCTCTTACTGCAAAAAGAAATTAATTTTCTTATTTTGCATATTGCCACGTATTAACATGAGACACGAAGAGAAGCAACAAAATCCCTAAGAGAAATACGGTATTTTCAAGGCCAAATAAAGAAATCTTTATTTGGCCTCGAATATATCAAATATATTAGTTTAGAAAAGGAAGCTGCTGCAAAAAAAGTCTAAGCTGTAAAAACCCCAAACACTTAAGACTATTAAAATTCCTTTAAATAGCATTTTCATTAAAGTACTTATACAGCAGCAAAGTACTACTATATAAAAAAAAGAAAGTAAAACCGATTGCACTTCAGCAAAGTAAAATCTGACTTCCTAGTCTAAGTTGAACCAAATGGAACAAAACAATTAAATTACAGTTTTGCAAACTCCTGTCCCAACAATAGGAAAGAAGCTTGCAATACTATGTGCGTTTTTCCAATTTTTAAACCGGTAGTTTCTTACAAGCTAGACATGCCATTTCTCTGTCTCACCTTGCTCTTGCTCTCCCTTGTGCATCCAAATCAACAGTTGGCACTCCAACACGAACAAACCGTGTAAAAAGGGACTGCTCCATGTTGGAGTATTTTTGAAAAGCCATGTTCTTAATGACTGGTGGCAACTGATGATGGTCACCAATCATAATCCATCGCTTCAAACGACTGAAGCCATCCTGGGGGTTCTAGAATTAAACAATTACACAATTATAACTATTACAATATAATCAAGGCACTCAATTACAACACATTAGCAGTCAAATTGGCTGTCCTAGATTAGCCCTAAATTTCAATATTTGTTCTTAAGCTACACTGAACTGCGGTCCTTTTAAAGACAACTACTAGCTTCTTTCCAATCTACTACCAGAAAAAGGGAGTAGTATTTTAAATAGTCTTGTTTCTTATAAAGGAACAGGTAAGTTTATCTATTAAAATTCCAGTATAGAAACATCAGGATAAATACCGTATTACATTGTTTTAAAGGCCAAAAGTAACATATTATCAGAGGACAAAAGGAAGAACCAATTATAGAAGTTACAGCAGTAAAAAACCTGACTTCTATGCAGTACTGTTACCCTAGAACAGTCTTTTAAACATTAAGTTCCGGATTCTGAGATAGTGAATATGAAGTGCCTGAAGCATGTGAAATAATTTTAGCGCTCACATGTCCGGGACACAAACTGAGCCTGCTTTTCGAGTGTCTCCGTGGTTCATGTGCTCCACCTGTTGACCTCTGAAATTCCCACATGGCCTCTTTCATGACCAGGATGTGCCTCTAATTAATCCTCACCCTGGCTCTTGCACTCAACGCTCTTCAGTATGTTTGATAACTCTCCAGTCCTCATCATCCTTTGTGTACCTACGTTACATACTGACAGAGGTCATGAAGGAATGTTGTAACATAGGGACAAAAAAGGAACAGATGTGTGGGTAATGTTACCCAGGAATTAGAATCCTGAAGATTTTCACCTGGCAGTTTTACAATTCAGACCCTCATTTCTTACACACTCCTGTGATATTTCCCTTTCCCCATAGGAGCACTACTCAAGATAGAGCCTGAAGTTCCTTTTCTTGCCAACTGAAGTGGGAAGATCTCTCTGATCAGAGAGCAAGGAAAGAAAACTGAACTCTGGACTGTCCAGCTCATCAAGCCATAAGATGCCTTCGTAAGAAAGTAAGAGGATGGAAAGTATTTTTAAGCGCATGGAAGATTTCTTTTCTTTCTTTTTTTTTTTACCTCCAAAAAGGTTACTGATTTGGAGAAAACCCATCATTCTTCATAATCATTCTGCTCTTATCAGCAATTTCAATCTCCGACAAAGAGCCCTCCAAAGAACTCTGTTTTTAAAAATATCTTAGTCTGAATTGCAAGTGCAAGAAATCAAGTAATACTACTCTGTAAGCCTAGTTCCTTAGGTTTGTTAAAAAACCCTTCAATTTGCAAGGACCATTTGGATGGCTCTTGTAAGAATGGTCATGGAATATCCCCCAGAATATGGGTCTATGGTGAAAAGGTCTGCTTTAATTACACAAAACTCTTCAGCTTCTGCATTGCTCATATACACTTATTTTCCCTCACCAGTCTGATGCATCTAGTTATTCAATGCTCATTCAAACATTTGAAAAGTTTGAAAAACACTGTAAAGATGCTTATTTCACTAAATACAATGCTTATTTCACTAAATACAATAATTTAATTATTAATGAAAAGTATGGTAAAAGCCACACAGGATTTATTCATTACACAGCACTACAGTACAGCATTGTAGCATTACATTCAAGACTGCTAAAACACAAGAGCAGCAGCCTAAAGTATTACACATGTCTTTATGCACAGAGATTTAAATACCTAATTGCAGTAGAAGCCACCTAAACAACAACTTACGCCTTCATACATTTCTGACAGTCAGGGGAATTTAACTAAGCCGCAAGAAGAAATCTATTTCAGGTCTAACTAAATTGAATGTTGTTCTAGAGACTACTGTGAGCATTCATTAAGCCTGCAGGACAGAAAGGAACCAAGTCTCTTTCGTTATATTATTATAATTGCTGAACTAGTAAGTGAAAGAGAGCTTGACTGTCACTGTTTTATGATTTATGAGAAGCCTCACCCAGCAGTGGTTTGCTCTCTAAACACCCCAAACAAGACAGACAAATATGTGCTCCTGTTCAGAGTTCAGGCAGCACTTGGGGTTTAGAGGGTGAATTAGTTGACCTACCTGCTCAGAATCATGAAAACTCAGCCATCTTTAACACATCAAGAAAGTGTTAAAGAACTACATTAATATCCCTAAAACTTAAAAACCTACAGAGCTAAACAGCAACTGAGAACAGGACTTGGGCTTTAGTAGCAATATGGCTAATCTGAACACGCATATTCTTTTGTGCACTGGCCCCATACTGAGTTACTTTCCTGCAATCGTATTCTACTCTCCATTGGTAAAGAGGAAAGTGAAAAATTATGAGCTGTAATTACAAATATATCAAATATTTCATGGAGTTTCTATCACACCTTTTTCAAGTGATACTAATTTTCTTTTAGAATCAATATCTACAAGCTTGGATGTGGTTTTCTAGAAGCCTTAAAATTATTGCTTTTCAATGAAAATATCTGCTCCAGGCAAAACTTCTGAAAGGAAACTTAATTTTAGAATATGAGGAAATGCAGACTGCGCATTTTTCAGAAAACCACTAGAATAAGAATCAAATAAACAGTACAGGCTGTCTTCAGTTTTACTGACTTCTCACAGATAAAGGGTTTGCAGAGAGTTCCTGAGGAAGCCCATACCCAGAGCCACAGATATGCGAGAGGCATATTTTGCTTACTTCTGAAATCCCCTAGCTCTTAAAAGAAGAAAGCGCCGCATCCCAGGCTCAGGTCGCTAAAAGCAACCACAGATAGCTTTCACTGGAGGCACAAAAGATTTCAAGATAGTCTGAGTGAATGTGTTGAGTTTAGAATGATCAGAGTAAACAGCTTTAGGGCACGATACTCAACTTTAAAAGTAGGTATGTTGGCCCTCTATTACAACAATTCCTTACATTACAGAGCCACTGCTACTGGGCTTCCTAAAGACTGTATCCTAAAGACACATGCCCTGTGCCACACTGGCTTCAGTTTCCTCATCTCCTTCCCTGCGTTAGCAGTACCCTTCCAGCTGCAAGACTTCCTCCATCCAACTGTATCACATCTGCATTCCTTTATCTAGCAACTGTTGGTTTGCCAAACACGGTAAAAGCTGCCGTTTATTCCAGGCTAAACATTTACCAATTAACTAGACAAAAGGCGCATCATTATCAGGCAAAAGTAGAAGTAGAACCAGCAACCATTTCTTTCCTTTCTGTGGAGCTGTAACATCAATTACAATGTCTCCTCTCTACACAGTTTTAGTTTTCCTGAAGTTGTAGGTGCTTGGTATCTCTCTCTCTCTCTTAATCTTGACTAAAACCGATCAAACGCCACATGCAGACAGGATGACACAGAGCAATTATGTAAGTCTCACCTTCTTGGGAAACAAAACTCTTATTTAATACAATGTATTAATTTTAACAATTTTTAAAATTAACAATAATCACAATAAAAGTAACAAAGCCAGGACCTAGTTTACATAAATATCTTCACTTTTTTATTTTCATAATGAAAGCCTGCTAATACTATTATTTAGTCAAGAAAAGTAACATATTTAGAACCTTCTATCTTACTCTGTAATATTAAAAAACTAGGATAAACAACTAATGTAGAACTATGAAAGTTCTTACTGTGCACTCAAATGGCAAGTATCAGTTGGAGGTTATCTTCTGCACAAGATATTTTCCTTTTAATATTTTGTATCATTCAAGTACACAGGCTTTCATGTATCATTTTTTGTAATATGTTTTTTTAATTCAGCTCTAACCTGCAACAGGAGAGGTATAAAGGTTTCTATCTCCAGAATCTGAGCAGACTCTTCCATTAGGATGTTGTCATACTGAGAAAGAAAAAGTAAAGAGATGTCCATCAACGAAATAACACAAATTAATACTGTTATTCAGCCTACTAAAAGAAAGCATCAGTTACTCGTTTGGTTTTTGTTGGGTGGGACAGCTATTGCAGGACTTTACCTTGTAACAAAATATCAGGATTACTAAAAATCCACATCAGAGAGTGAAATTCAACATCAATGGCAGATCTACCTGTACCAATCAGTGCTTACAGCTAGAAAGAACCCACATCTGAACTACACGACATGCTTCCCGTATGCCATAACCCATCTGCAACAGAAAAGATTTTGCAGTGGAAAAAACTAATTTGGTATCTTTGCACTGAAGCAGAAAAGGAACACTTTTGTGATCCAATACAGTGCATTATTGGAGAAAAATAATACTGAAAGAATTAATGGTGGTGGGCTTTTGTTTTGTTTTTGTCAGATAAAAGTCTGTACTATATAAATACCTATGTTTAACACTGCAGAGTGACAACAGCATTGCATCTTAGGTTTTTTTCTCAAATTATTCATTTTTTAGATAAACAAAGTTTTAAAGTCCATGGGTTTTGCCCAATTCTGCCTTTATTTTATTACTCAAATACTCAAAGTATTTTATTACTTTATCACTGTTGTTCATCATCTAATGTGGCAAAAATAACTTCTTTTTTTAAATAGAGATGTGCTACTAAGCATTTTTGTATATGTAACAACCTAAAAGAAATCTCATCTACTTACAGAAGTTAGATTTTTCTTCACTAAAATTACAATTTGAAACATACTAGTAAAAATGCATCTCAAAATAATCTAATTGGTGCTTTAGGACAGATAAAAAGGTTTATACAAGGGGTGAAAAAAAAAACCAACCCCAAACCAAGAAATAATTAGTTTAGTAACACTAGTATTAGTACATTACCTTGAAACCTAATTCAACCAGGTCGTGTCGCTTCAGAGCAGCATGAGTACAAGTCATGGCAATGATTTTTGCTTCTTTCACCAACAGGTATTTGGATCTATCCAGGCCACTGCGGAGAAGTTCAAATGCTCTGAATTCCTATGAGGAGAAAAGAAAACCTTGAAAGTCAGAATACAAAAAAAATATTGCTTATAAAATGTATTCACTCAAACTATCTGTCCACCTTCTCAATATAATTAGGCCAGAAAGTTGTAAGGGTATCTACTGTTAACAAGCCCATCTGAATAATTTTTTTTTATGCTAAACCTGGGAACAACAATATTTCAAAAAAACAATCCTTTAAAAACACCTCCAAGAATTCTGCAACTTGTGTTGCAGACAATATAAATTTGAAGACAATTATTCAATTGATTCTGAGGAACCCTCTCAGAATCCCCCCCAAAATTTTGTTTTATGACATCTTCTTGTTTCCTACTTTACTGCAAAGTAACATCACATCAAGTTCAGTATTAGAAAGACCAATACAGTTAATAGCATCAAATCACACACAGATCACATTTACCCTAACTTATAAAAGCCTCTCAAGCAATTCTGGGAAAAAAACCAAAATAATCTGTTTCAGCAACTTCTAGGTTATCTCTGCCTCTACATACAAAGTCCCTGTGAGGATCAGAGCAGCAGTGATAGGCACAGCAACCCTAGCTATCTAATCAGTGATAACAGAACACGCAGAATGGCTGCTTCCTAAGGTCAAAACAAAACAGACTAGACCCTTGTCCCCACTGTGAAACATGCGTGTGTTACTTAAAAGTGGAAATTATCACCTGAATGCCTTGCAAGCTACAGAAGCTGTCTAGAGGTATATACTCCTTTTAGGATAAGAGACAAAGTAGAATTTTGGAACTATGTAAAGATTTTTAGAGGATTAGCCAGATCCACTTACCTTTAATAGTTACATGTCTTACCTCAAGCTGAGTGAATATTTTCTTAACATGTCTAAAGCACCCTTCAGCAATTTCCATATCTTCTTCGTAGGATCTGCCTTTGAAAATTGGTTGAGGAGCATTTGCAAAATACTGGTGAAAAGGAAAGAAACTGGAGACATCCGTAACATCTGGCAATTTTCCACCTTTAACTTTCACTTTGCTGATGTACTCCTCCCAACGAGACATTACCTATGGCAAACAAAAGCATCATAGCGACATAGTTTTATATCAAAGTAATTGGCAAGGTATAGTCTTGCACTCATAATATTAAAAAAAAAACAAACCACATCACAAAGACAAGGTATGTCTAAACTGGCATTTGAATTTGTATCAGGACAACATTTTTTGACACCGTGGTGGATTGACCTTGGCTGGCTGCCAGACCTCCACCAAACATCTCTGACTCCCCTTCCTCAACAGGACAGGGGAAGAAAATAAAATGGAAAGCTTATGGGTTGAGATAAAGACATGAAGATTACTTAACAAGTACCATCACAGGGAAAATAGACTTGATTTGGGGAAAATTAATTTAATTTATTGACGATTTAAAATAGAGTAGGATGGTGAGAAACAAAGACAAAACAAAAAACACCTTTCTTCTCCACCCCCTCCTTCTTCCCAGGCTCAATTTCACTCCTTCATTCCCAACTTTTCTATCTCCTCCCCACCCTGAGCAGTGCAGGAGGAAAAGCGCCTGTCATTCAAGTTCATAACACCGCATCTCTGCCACCCCTGTCTCCTCACACCTCTCCCCTGCTCTAACATGGGCTTTCCACAGACTGCAGCTTCCTTCAGGCCATATCCACCCGCTCTAGCAGAGGGTCCTCCACGGGCTGCAGCATGGATACCTGTTCTGACATGGTCCTCCATGAGCTGCAGGGGGACAACCTACTTCACCATGGTACTCTCCATGAGCTATGGGGGAATCTCTGCTCTGGTGCCTGGAGCACCTCCTGCCCCTCCTTCTCTTTCTGACACTGGTGTGTGGGGTTGTTCCGCACACTCCCCTCTCTGCCCTCAGCTGCTGCCTTTTCTCACAGATGCACCGACCAGTGTCACTGATGGGCTCAGCTTTGGCCAGCAGTGGGTCTGCTGGAGCTGGCTGGCTCCAGCACGGGGCAGCCCCTGGCCTCTTCTCACAGAGGTCACTCCCGCAGCCCCCTGCTACCAAAACCTTACCACATAAACCCAATACAGCAAATCTCTATTATCTCCACTTACAGTACTGGTTTAAAGACCAAATTGGATTTCTTTGGGAGGAAATTGAACCAGATGAGCTCTAGCAGTGCTCCGAGTACTGTCCAACACCTAATACCCCTTTGACGTTTAGGCCCACACTGAAGCTAGCCCAGAGTAACTTCTGTAAAAACAAATATAGTGTATGCATTTGATCCTAAGTACCACCACGGATTCTCCTATCTGAAGGAGAAACTTCAGGTTAGACTATTTGCCAGCAGTCCCAACGAGCAAGAATGCCAGCCTTTCAATTGGTGAGTCATCAGGCAGGACTCAAAACAATAGCAATACAAGTAATGTTGCAATTATAGCTTTAGATGTTATTGTATTTTGAACCACCAAAGAAAATGCCTTATCTTTTTTTTTTAGACTCAATTCTGAAACATTCACTCCAATTTTTACAAAGCGTTTCATAACATATTGAGGTCATCCAGTAGAAGTAGTTCAGTCCTTACTTGGTATAAGAAAAAGTGGCCAGCTGTTTCACAAGTGTAAGAAACATCTCCCGGGACTCCAAGACTCTCTTGCAATCGCCCAACTTCTCGTAGAAGTTCAAGTCTTCGAGCCAGCACATAATTAACTCTTCCATACCTACAAAATGGATTAAATATAACATAATTTGTATTTAAATGTATTTAATTCAAAACTGGTTTATCTAAGTATCACAATAAGAGATCAGCAAAAACCCAACACCCCAACAATTAGCGACAAGCCAAGTATTTCTATCAGTTGAGACCTATTAATTTGCAAAGCCATGCAAGAGCCATTACTGTAGAAAAAGTTCCTTTTATCCTATCACTTCAACAAAAGCTTCATACGTGTTAGCAAAACATTCTCATAATGTACCTGTAAAGCAGAAAAGCATTATCTCCAATGTACAGTTTAGGAACTATGGTACACTACATGTTACACAAATCTAAGAACCGTCATAAATAGAACCTATACCTGAAGTTTCAATATGATAAAGCTGACTTCCTTTGGAAATATATGAAGTGTCTTGCAATAATGCTTAGCCCACCATAACAGACAGGTCTGCATCCACACATAAGAGGTCCTGTATTCACAGCTGCCTGTTCAGTAACTTTTATGACTGATTAGTCGGTAACCTACTCCTTTCATTCTCCTGTTACCCAATTCAAGCCCAGTTTTTCCCTTTAAAATCAATTTCTTTAATCCATGCACCCCCCGCCCCCAAAACAGTGCAAGAAAAACAAAAGTCAATGTATCACATTTTCTAAAAAAGAAAACAAATTGAAAAGTGGTATAAATGGATGGAATCAAAGAAGTGAGGGGAACAGGACACTCTTTTAAACGTAGTTAAAAACTCAAATGTGAATAAAGGCTAAATTTCAAGTTCTTATTAAACTTACTATTCCTAAAATATGCTTTCGGCACAGAAAAAAAAACCCTGCCACAATCCTTGGTAATCACAATAGGTTCTACTGTCCTATTTAGAAGGGTGAGAGTAGCTAAAGTTGGAGATTTGAATTTACTAAGACACAACTGAATATGGTATTGTTCACAACTGGAAAAAACAAGTTCCTCAGGAACTATGACAGTTAAGATCCTTGGAATATTAATTAGTTTTTTCTTCTTCAACAAAACTAATTACATTAGAATTACAAGTGACTGCAACCAGTTGTGGTTTTTCCCCTCGTATTTCCAATGTCCTCTTATTTCTCACAATTCAAGTCATACGCCCTCTTATATGTATTTGTTCATTGTTACAAAAGTTTTCTTTAGCTGTGATTCCCTTTGTGTTTAAGTGACAGTACCAGTTTAATCAGCTCCTCTCCACCTTAGTGTTCTTTTACCCCCCTCTCCCACTTTGCTGTGCCTGCAGAGGGAGCAGAAAAAAAACACTAAGCTTGCTAAGCAGCAGAAATTCCTTAAGCAGTACTGTACTCTCCCTCTAAAGCAGCTTGACACAGAAAACCCACAAACTTAGAAGCAACCTAAAAACAAACAAAAGGCAAATGGGAAACAAATTTCTCTTCTCACAATAGTGCAGTCCACCTTCAAATATATTCCTCAACACTTATCCCTCCCTTCTAAACTGCCAGTACCCACAGGACTTGCAGTAATGTCCTGTAGGTCTGGAGTTACCTTGAAAAAGAATGAAAATAGGCAGTGTAGAGTGTCTCAAAGAAAACTCCTTTTACTGATGAGCAATACTGTTCAAGGAATATACTAAATCACTGATATTACTAAATAAATATCTGCCATGGCATCATTTCACTAAGAATTTGGGTATCAAATTTCTGGAATAATCTGACTATGATGTCAAAGCATTCAAATTTTAAAAAAGATAAAAAAAGAATCACAAGGTATTTATTTTGCTAAATGAAATTCAACTATGCATATGTGGCTAGCATCTAGTGACTATATACAATTTTTACTACAGCTTTTGAAGTCAAAGTATTGCTATAATAATCCAGTACTGGACAGTTCAGTTATTTCCAGCGCACAACGCTTATACACATGCTTACATTTATGAATGTGTGTCATCTTACTGAGGGCAATTGGTCTAATAAGTAACAAATGTACAAATATTTACAAGAACAGGTTCTTAAGTTTTTGTACTGATACAGACTTGATAGTTTTCCTTATGTATGTATTCTTCAAAATGTGTTATTTACCAATGAAATAAGCAACTTTGCAATTAAGCAATATTCTGAAGAATTAAAAGCAGAAAGTTTGATTTCATGTTTATATTTATTAATGCAATATTCACCATGCCACTAGAAGTGATATATTTGCATTAAAAAAATTGTAACTAAAAAACTGCATTTATTATTCAACTTTCTCTCACGAAACAGATCACTTCTATAACATCTATATGGACCCAGAATATAATAAACTACATTTATTCAAGCAGTTGAGTTCGTGAACAAGCAACTGCCTGATTCTGCCTTTGGATTCTCAAGAGAACACACTTTCTATACCGAGTAAGAAGCAAAATTACTTAACCCTGTATTGAAAACAAGCGTACTCTGCATTACTGCAATTCAATAATATCAGAAAGGTAAAAGTTGTCAAGCACAGCTCCTTGCTCGTTTATAAGGGAGGTAGAATGGATCCAACACATACATCTTGCTAGAATGATTATGCAAGCGAGTTCATCATTAGCACCTCCTTTCTCACCTGCTGAAATCTTTCTCTGTCTCCAATTCCTCTTCTCCGTGACCCAGACGCAGAAGGTGGCGCTCATCAATGTCTAAAGCCATGATTTTTTCAAACAGCTGGTTCAAGGCCTACAGGACAAGAACAGGAGAAAAGGTAGATTTTAGAAGTTCGGAGGCTTTTGCAGGGGAAAACTGAAGAATGGCTAGTAAACCAGCTAGGAAATTATGCTTATTTTGGTATAAATGGCAAACATGAAGTTAACAGTGAAAGTAGAGCTCTAAATCTAAATCTTGACAACAGGGAAATTAGCCTACTAAAACTCTTGTATTTGCATACTTTATACAATGCTTATATTTGATTTTACAGTTTTTAAATAATTTTAAAATTTGATTGTATCACCCAGTTAGTTTAGTTGATAAAGCTATCAGTTTATAAAACTGTCTCAAGAAACACACTTTGCAAACATTGCTTTTGTTAGATGACTTTTAACTTCTACTGTACATTAGAAGAGCACGATCTGGTACTGACTGGCAGGTGCCGTGACTGTACTCCATACAGACAAATTTTGCTGAACGAATCTTCAAGGTGTGCTACATCTCCTGCCTTAAACTCATCAATTCTCTCACAGCTGTCCAATTCAGTGTATTTCAAAGGAGTAAGTTTGTAAGTGCTGGATCATCAAGTTACGAAACTAAGAATAAACATGAGCAAACTTCACTTATACTTCAAGTCAGCTGAAGTCATGCAAGCTTGTTAAAATACAGTGTCAAGGCATAAGGAATGAACCCTGCTGAGATACGGTTTATTTCCTGAAGTACAATTTCAAGGTCATGTTCTCATATTAGGCTTGTCTGGTAAGAGTCTCCTACCTGCCTCAAATTTCCTTCCTTTTCTCCCCAACAGACGTGCTCTTAACTCCTCTCAACTTCACTACCTGTTACTCTCCCGCAACCCGTTGTAGACCGGCCTGTGTTATTCCAGATTGTAACTCCTCACCAAAACTCCACCATTCTTGTAACGACAGTGTAAGTGCCTGATCTTGCTTTGATAGAAAAAGACTAAATGTTTTCAAAGCGGCATGTTCAGTTAAAATAGCTCATAACTGAAATAGGATAGGCTAATTAGGGAGACCAGGAAAACTGATGACCCTGGTTCCAAACAAGTCTCCCAAACCAGATGCAGATTTAGAGTAAGAATCTTTAAAGACGTTTATCATTATTATTCTTATTTCATATACGCTTGAGAATCAGCATCTAGACTCCATCTCTTATGACTGGGAAGCAAGCATTCAGCTAAAGAGGTCATGACTGGTTGCAAACTGTTGGTACATGAACTATCACAGGAGCTTTGACCCCTACAAATCAATTGGCTCTGACGCCATCCACCCGAGGGTGTTAAGAGAGCTGGCTGATGTCGTTCTGAGGCTGCTCTCCATAATCTTTGAGAAGACATGGAAATCAGGAACATTCCAGATGACTGGAAGAAGGCTAATGGCACTCTCATCTACAAGAAGGCCTTAAAGGAGAACCCATTAAATTATAGGCCCATCAGTCTTACTTCAGTTCCTGAGGAAGTTATGGAACGAATCTCCCTGGAGGCTATCACAAGTCAAATGAAGCACGTGATTGGGAAAAGCCAGCATGGATTCACCACAGGCAAACTATGCTCGACAAACCTGGTTGCCTTCTGTGACAAAGTAACCTGCTCAGTTGATGTGAGGCGAAGTTGAGCCCCACACTGTTTAATGTCTTCAAAAGTGATCTGGATGATAAAGTGTGCTGATGATACTAAACCGGGTGGGGAAGCAGACACTTCAGAAGGGAGAGCCACCCTGCAGGAAGACCTGGGTAGGCTGGAAGAGTGGGCTAACAAAAACCTTATGAAGTTCAACAGGGACAAGTGTAAGGTCTTGCACCTGGGAAAACATAATCCAGGAGTGCAGCACTGGCTGGGATCTACCCACTGCGAGCAGCTCTGTGGAAAGGGACCTGGGGGTCCTGGTGGGCAACAACCTCATTATATGAGTGAACAGCGTGCTGCTGTGGCAAAGACAGACACAAGGATGCTGGGTTGCATCAACACGGGCATCAGCAGCAGAGATAAAGTCATCATTATCCCACTCTACACAGCCCTTGTCAGGCCACACCTGCAATACTGTGTTCAGTTTTGGTCCCCGCTATGCAAAAAAGATGTGGACAGGCTGGAAAGGGTCCAGAGAAGGGCTACTAAGATGATCAAAGGACTGGGAAGCCTGCCGCATAAGAATAGGCTGAGAGAACTGGGTTTGTTCAGCCTTGAGAAAAGAAGGCTTAGGGAAGACCCCATCATCATGTTCCAGTATTTAAAGGGTGGCTACAAAGAAGGCGGAGACTCCCTTGGTACAAGGAGTCACATGGAAAAGATGAGGGGTAATGGGTAAAAGTTACCCTGGGGAGATTCCAACTGGACACAAGAGGAAATTTTTTTCACTATGAGAACATATAATCTCCCCAGAGAAGTGGTGGATTCCCCATCATTGGACACTTTTAAGATTTGGCTGGACAGGGTGCTGGACTCTCTTGCCTAGACTGTATGTTTGCCAAGAAAGATTGGACCAGAGGATTCTTCCAACCTGGTATTCTACAATGATTCTATGATATGATACCTACTACCTTTCATTCCTTCCCTTAGAAGCATGAAGCACAGAGCAACCAGTGTCTGAGAAAAGTAGTTAGCAAAAATCTGGCAGGCATGCAATGAACGTTCAACTGTAAGAACTGTGCAGCCACTTTTTCAAAATACTTCCTAATTTCTAGCCCCAACCAGTTAAATGTATTGAAAATTTCTGATAAATAGCTCAGAACTACAAAATTTAACTTCACATTATGAAATTGGCAAAACCGCACACAAGCCAACTCAGGTTTTTATTGTTAAGAGTCAACTGCAATCCCAAACCTAATGATCTCAATACCTGCTGGTTTTCTTGATTTTAATTACAGGAAAATTTCATACATGACTGACACTTTACCTGATTAGAGTGGGTAACTATAAGAGTTCGTTGTTCTGGGAAATTATGATAAAGATTGGATATTATCTGGACTGCTACATCAGTTTTTCCTGTACCAGGTGGACCCACTACCTAAAAACAAACAAACAAAAATTAAAACCAAACAAAAATCAACACACAATTCATCAGAATATTGCACAATACAGAAATATAGCCAGTTGGGGGAAAAAAAAAAAAGAACAATCTCACTGGCATCATACATTAACAATAAAAAAAAAATCTCCTGTTTCATGTACAATTGCTTTCTGGCTTCTGTGAACTTCAAGAACACATACATACAGCATGAAAGATTTAGCCCAATGCTAATACAGATTACTGCCTAAGAGGAATACAGTAATCCAGCAATTACTTGCTAGCTTTTGTGAACTTCAAGAATAAAGGCAAGTCTAATTCAGATTAGTTAGGCAGATTCCTGCCTAAGAAGAATATCGTAATCCAGCATATGAGGTACTATTCTGTTTCGCAGCCCATGAAAACAGACCTTCTCAGAGAAAAAGGGCTGTTAGCATCCTCAGGACAGACTAGGGGAAATGGTGAAAAAAGCATCAAAACACATAACTGAAAAAGAATAAGGTGAGGCAGATAGAAAGAACAGGAAAAAAAAAAAGAAAGAGTCTATTCTTTTTATTTACTCAAAAGTCTACCACTGACGATATAGAAGTAATACTGACAGTTAATGTTTTTATAGGCTCAAGTACACTAAAAACATTCAAAAATTGACACCTGAGACATTTTAAAGGTATCCAAATAGTATAAAGCATCTCAAACTAATTTGTTTTATTTAAACAATCTCATTGATCACTGGATTCAGAAGCCAGTAGTATTGTGCTTCTTGAAAATATCTGACAGAAATACATGACATAATGCCAGAAAATAAAACATAGGCCTGTATTACATAACTTTTCTCAGTCTGCCTCCTCTCCCTGCAAAAAAAGTGAGTGATGTAGAAAAAAAAAAAAAATAATCAGAAATGCATCCTGAAAAACAAGAAGCTGACTTTGTCATTGTTTTTCCCCTTTTGACCTCACAGACTCTCATTCTCTAACCTCTTAAAAATCAAGAAATGCAGGTTTAGTAGCAAAGTTTAAACTATAACATAACCATCTTGTCAAATGTTTATGAAAGCTGATGGAGTACCAGGCACAGGAAATTTCTTTTCTTCTTTAAAAGCCCTCCAAAATTGAGGTAGATGGTAGTTTATAAAGCATTATATGCTTGCATTTGAAAGCCATTAATAGTTCAACAAATATTAAATGATACTAATAAACAATATGCAATGCTATTTAAAAAAAAACAAAAGAGAGAATAACAAAACCCAGCTGACTTAAGTGACCCCTCTCTAGTATTTTGTGTGTTAATTAGGTACTACAAATTGGTAATACAGATTTTATTTTCCTATTGACAACACTAATTATATAAAACATTACTTCTGTACACTGGCATGGGTATTCTTAGACAAAGACACTAATTATTTAAAACCCAGCAGTTCAAATAATTCAAAAAAACCCCAAACCCTTCCAACATTGTTTAATAACCAAATTTAAATCATCTATCACTGTGGCATTTTCACAGCAATCAAAAAAAGAGCTTTAATTTCTAAATAGACCTTAAAGTTGATATTCTATCAACAACCAAAAAGTTCTGCTGTGCTCTATTAGAAAACATACCATTTTCAAAACACTGCCAAGAACTCAGGTAACTTTTATATATGTTTTCAACACAACTAATGTCAGCACACTTAATCAGGCAGGGACAAAAGGGAAACAATTCCACTGAAGTTTACTTTTTCCTTTGCCTTGCATCTCTTATGTGCTAGCTACAGTGTATAGGGAGTGGTAAAACACAAGGAGGAAAGGGAGGTGAAAAAATATGGTACTAATGAATACCAATACAAAAATGTAAGTTCGCATTATTGCCTATATAGGCCAAGAAGAAATTAAGAGTATCAGAGAAAAGTCATTCAAATTCCACTGAGTCACTACCAGGATAGACTGTACTTCATTAGGAGACAGATAGTTGTAGTCAAAGTCTAATTGAGAGAGGTAAACCTTAAAGACCTTTGCAGAAATTCACTGATCAAAAATTATTTTCGTAACAAAGCTGCAGCTTTGGCTTGGTTTTTCAATTCTTAGTTCTGGAAGTCAGCAGGTTATAAAGCACTTCACATGACATTTCACAAGACAGAAGCTCCCTGAAGACAATTCAGTGACTTTCATTTCCTTTAATGGAGTTAGATCAAACTGAAAATGATGCAAGTAATTTAGAATGGCCAAAAATAACAGACATGGCAAAAGCATAACAGTCTAAAACTAGCAATCCAACCACTGAAAAAGTAAATTCAGTTGTTGTTGAAAGTCTTCAGCCACTGAAACACAAGATATAGTTATACAGAGACTAAAAGTGTTTCTGTATGATTTCATGAAGATGGGAGGATGTTGAACCTTTGTATCCTAATTTTTCATATTTTTAAACTATTAATAGAAGTGACATCAGCAAGGCTATAGCCAGGAGAGTAGAA